TGTTTTCTATTTGCTTGGTAAATTTTTCACCGTCCCTTTATTTTGAGCCTGTGTGTGTCTTTGCATGTGAGATGGGTCTCCTGATACAGCACACTGATGGGTCTTGACTGTATCCAATTTGCCAGTCTGTATCTTTTAATTGGGGCATTTAAGGTTAATATTGTTATGTTTGAATTTGATTCTGTCATCATGAGGCTATGTGGTTATTTTGCACACTTGTTGATGCAGTTTCTTCATAGTGTCATTGGTCTTTATATTTTGGCGTGTTTTTGCAGAGACTGGTACCAGTTTTTCCTTACCATATTTAGGGCTTCTTTCAGAATGTCTTTCAAGGCAGGCCTGGTGGTAAAGAAATCCCTCAGCATTTGCTTGTCTGGAAAGGATTTTATTTCTCTTTTGCTTTGAAGCTTAATTTGGCTGGATATGAAATTCTGGGTTAAAAATCCTTAAGTATGTTGCATATTGGTTCCCAATCTCTCTGGCTTATAGAGTTTCTTCTAAGAGGTCTGCTGTGACTCTGATGGGCTTCCCTTTGTAGGTGACTGGCCTTTCTCTCTGGCTGTTGTTAATGTTGTTTCCTTCATTTTGACCTTGGAGAATCTGATGATTATGTGTTTTGGGGTTGATTTTCTCATGGAATATCTTAGTGGTGTGCTCTCTATTTTCTGAATTTGCATGTTGGCCTGACTTGCTAGATTGAGGAAGTTCTCCTGGATAATATCCTGAAGTATGTTTTCCAGCTTGTCTCCATTCTCTGTCTCTTTCAGGTACTCCAATCAATTGCAGGTTCGATCTTTTTCCATAGTGTTATATTTCTTAGAGACTTTGTTCATTCCTTTTTATTCTTTTTTCCTCCAATGTTGTCTGCATGCCTTATTTCAGCAAGGTGGTCTTCAAACTCCTCTATCCTTTCTTTCACTTGTTTGATTTGGTTATTGATACTTGTGTATGCTTCATGAAGTTCTTGTGCTATGCTTTTCAGCTCCACCAGGTCATTTATCTTTCTCTCTAAACTGATTAGTCTTCTTAGCAGCTCCTCTAACCTTTTATCAAGGTTGTTGGCTTCTTTGCATTGGGTTAGAACATGCTCCTTTAGCTCGGCAGATTTTTTTATTACCCATCTTCTGAAGCCTACTTCTGTCATTCGTCCATCTCGTCCTCCGTCCAGTTCTGCACCCATGCTGGAGAGGCATTGTGATCATTTGGAGGGGAAGAGGCACTCTGGCCTTTTGGGTTTTCAGCATTTTTTTTGTTAATTATTTCTCATGTTCATGAGTTTGTCTAGCTTTGGTCTTTGAGACTGCTGACCCTTGTGTGGGGTTTTTGTGAGGACATTTTTTGCTGTTGATGCTGTTGTTGCTTTTCTTTCAATGGTAAGGTCCCTATTCTGCAGGGCTGCTGTGCTTTGCTGCGGGTTCACTTCAGGCCCTATGCATCTGGTTTGCTCCCACACTTGGAAATGTCACTTGAGGCTGGAGAACAGTAAAGATGTGTTCCTTCTCCTCCTTCTGTAATCTCTGACCTCAAGGGGCACCAACCTGATGCCAGTAGGATCATTCCTGCGTAGGGTGTCCAACAACCTCGGTCAGAGGATCTCACCCAGTTTGGTGGCATGGGGAACAGGACCCATTTAACAAAGCACTTTGACTGTCCCTTTTGGAGGGGGTGGGCTTCACTGGGGGGAAACCCACTCATCTGGGCTGTCCAGATTCCTCAGAACTACCAGAGGAAAGGCTAACTCTGCTGGTCCACAGTGACTATGACCAACATTCCCCCTAGAGGAGGCCCAGTGAGGCCCAGGTTCTGTCCCTGAGCCTCTGGCTAGAATTGTTGGAGTTCCTACAGGGAGGCCTCACCCAGTGAGGAAGGATGGGTCAGAGTGAGGCCTGAAGAGGTGCTCTGGCTGCAGTCTGCCATAGCTGCTGTGTTGGGCTGTGGGGAGCACTTCTTGGGGACCAAGCTATCCAGCATCCCTGGCTCCAGCAGTGGAAAAGCATGGCCTGGAGCTATAGAGCTGGGCGTCGCCCTTCCCTGTCCCAGGGAGCTTAGCGTGTTAGGCAGTTATGAGTCCCAGTGCTGGCTACTGCCCCTTCCCCAAGAAGCACAAACAGCTTAGGCAGCAGGCAGCCACGCCTGTGGTGCTGATCACCCCTCCCCTAGGGAGCTCAGCAGGTTTAGGCAGATTCCAGCTGAGAGGCTGTTGAAAATCTGCATGGCTCCAGGGTTGGAACCCAAGGCCCCAATGGCGTAGGTTTGCAAGTGGAATCTTCCAATGTGTGGGTTGCACAATTCCGTGGAGAAAGCATGGCTTCTCTGTCTGGGTAGCATGCTCACTCACCACCTTCCTTGGCTGGGGTGGGTAGGAGCTCCCCTGCCCTGTGTGGCTCTCAGGTGGGCTGCCACATCACACTGCTCTTCCTTTCTCTCTGTGTTCACATCAGCCACCTAGTCAGTTCTGATGAGAGAATCTGGATACCTGGGTTGCCAGTGAAGGATTCACATGCTAATTATGGTTCTTTTTGATGTGACCCTTTGATTGTTGCTGTTTCTAGTTGTCCATCTTGGTCCTGCCCATCCTATCTGTAGCTTTCAAGTATTTTCTAACATATCATTCTGTATTGTTTATTAGAAAAACACACAGGTCTATACAAAGAAGAGGATTTTTATTGTATAATTTTGAGAACAAAATGCCAATTAAGGTCTAATATTAGCCTTACAAATATATATATATGCACACACACAAATACACACATATTTACACAGATATATGTATGTATGTAAATATATATATAATATATATAAAACACACACATACACAACTCATTTAAATATACTTATATACTTAGGCTTCATGCATTCAATTTTACCAAGTGTTAAATATCTTGAGGACCCTGAGGAAGACACCAGATGTGGTTTCTACTGTAGGGGCAGAAAGGTGTGATACCTTTCTTCCTTATAAGGGTCATGGCTGACACTCCTATAAGCAAAAGACAGGTTAACAAGAAAAAAATAACAAAATTAATCAAAGTTTGGCATGACATGGAAACCTGAAGACCCAAAGACCCAAGGGAAAAAGTCTGTTTCTTTGCTTAGATTTGAAGATTTGGCAGCCGTGTAGACATGTGATTACACAAAGGGTGTGATCTAATGGTAATAGACTGAGGGGAGAAACACAGTGAAACCTGCCTGCTCAGATTCTTCCTCCTCGATATACAACAAGACCCCTCTGGAATGAGGGTCTTATGATCTAGACAAGGTAGATCAGAGAATTTCTTCATAGCCAGCTCCTACACAGAAAGTGAGGGGTGAGGGGTTGGTAGAGTCACCATTCTAGGTTTTATGACTGACTTAGTGTCCATGACACATCTTGGAGAAGAGGAATTCCAAATTCTGTGGCCTGCCTTGTGGGAGAAAGGTGAGCAGCAGCCATTAGGGTACAAGGAAGTCAGAGAGAGACTTTCCTTCTGAGGCTGCTTCTGAGGACTTCCAACATCCTATAATTCAAAGTACTCAGCACACCAAAGTGCCGTAATTTGGGGTATCAGTTTCTGAGCCCAACACTGGCTTCTATTAAATTAGAAAATCTTTAGAGAAAAAAAATTACGCGGAATTGTGACAAATGGTCTAGATCGTGTGGTAAATATTCTTAGTCTTGTGGGAATTTAAAGAGGAAGATTCAGTGAGGACTGACCCAAGGGGAAGTTGTTGATTTTAAACCACATTCAACACTGCAACTCTTCTTTAGTTCAGATAGGACAAAGAGTATGTAGGGTGTCCAGCTAGAGAAGAAAGAGAAGCAAGGGCACGTCGATGTGAAAACAACGGGCGGAGGATGAGAGAGCTTGGAGCAGGGAGTGTCAGGCACAGAAGCCCATACAGGAATTTACATTGAGACGGGTTGTGTGGAGCATAATGCAGAGAGCCATAAAAATCCAAAAGGGGAGCTAACTCTCATATGGAAAGGAATATGAAACGATTTATATTTTAAAGCAAGTAAGAGATTGAACAAAGAAAGCTAATTATTAGGACATTTTAATTTTTACACGAAAGATAGCATATGATAGGCACTCTTCTATACCTAGCTACCCACCCTATTTCAGCCTCATATATGCTTTGAAAGCTTCTTATTTTGTTTGAAATGTTGAACCATACAAATGTATTTTTAAAGTATTTTAAAAGGGATGTTAAGAGTATCCCAGCGTTGTTCATTTTCTCAAGTTAATTTAATCTTTTGACACATTTTAACATATTTGCATGGTTAAAAGCCAAGAATAAGTGAGACATTTGTTGCAAAGATATTGGACAGCCATAGCGTATTATGAGAGAGATGTTAAAGGGAGTAAGTCAGGAGACTTACATGTATGTTTTTATCTCTTGAATATATCCTGCAGATATTTTCATATCAGAGCATAGAGATCATCCTTATTCTGTTTTTACAGCTGCATAGTATTCCATGGCATGACCGCGTAGGGCCACCTCACCTGAGTGTGAGTGTACCTGTGTTAGTGGGCCTGGACAAGGATTGGTAAGGTCAGGAGTGGACATGCCAGGGGCCTCAGTAGATCACCCCAGGTTCTCCTCGGTGGGAGTTACACACTTCTGCACTTTTTCAGCGGTATCTAAGAGTATCTGTCCCCTAGCGTTCGTTGGAGGATGTTCAACTTTTGAAGTTGGTCAATATAATAGGTAAGCAATGTTATTTCAAAGTAGTTTTCATTTGTGTTTCTTTTACAATGTGATTTTAAAGTTAAGGGAAAGAGCTGATGTGGGAGGAAAGCTTATGAGTTTATTTAGCCTTTAGCCTGATGTAGTTAAGGAAAATGAGAGATCAAAGAGAGTGGGAGTTCTGGAGAAACGCCAGGACCACTGAAGGGGCAATTTGAAAGTAATCATGCATCATTAGGATCTGATTATTTCAGTTGTGTTTTTTCTTAAAAGTCAATCACCTTGATATAAACCAGTATTATGACAAATCTCTCTCAAATTTATTTTCCTTACAGTGCTTTCATATTTTTATTCATCAAAAGTGAAATACCAAATAACACGTGTTCTGTGGATACCACTCCATTAATAACAGAGCATGTGAGTATAATATGAGAGACAACATGATTTGAAACATAAAATTAAGATAAAAGGAAAATACATAAATTTTAAAGATGAGAAAGTGGTATTTGCTCATCATGCATGGCTGTGTTACATATCTTCGCATATTTATTATGGCTAGATCTACTTAGCAATCAGTATTTCCACAGTTAAGCTTCTCAGCAAGCACACCGCTTTATTTATTTTGATTAACAGATCTCTACTAAGAGATATATATAAGCCCATATTTTGTAATGATTTAAAGATTCCTACAATAGAGAACCCCTAAATACTTCAGAGGAATGTGAAAATAACTTTAGAAAGGGGGAGGAAGGAGGTTTTGATTGGCCTGGGGGAGAATAGACCATAGGCAGCCCATGAAAGGTAAGTGAGGTCATAGGCGAGTAGGAACTGGACTTGCTTTGCTTCTTATTTCCTTTTTCTGTCATATCTCATTCTACCCAAAGATAAAAACACAAAACATGTTAGGAGTCACTGTTTTGACCTTGAAGAACCCACATTAGTCTGGAATAGTAAATCAGAGTTAAATAGGAACAACTTTTAAAAGGGACCTGATACAGCACAAGTGTCAGTAGCTACATATACAAAAGTGACTTCAGGGCAAAGCCTCATTGCCATGAACCCAGGCCCTAGTCCTTCTCATCTCAAGAGTCTCTCCTGTCTGCCCGGGCCAGTGCTACCCAGCTGCCCTCTGAATCTAGCTCCCCTCACCCCCAGTGAGGTATTGCCTCTTGGCAGGGTGCTACCTCTGCCCCTTACTTCAAAATTAATCTTTTCTTTTTTCCTTCTTCCCCTATCAAAACTTTTATCAACTAAAACCTTAGTCAAATTGACACTAAAGTTGAATAGTAATTAACTTACGTGTAAGGATAAGAGGTTTATGCATCCACAGGCATCCCTAATCAGGGAAATGTTTCAAGGAGAAGGGAGGAGTTGGCTTTGGGAAAGGGTTACCTGCCTGCTTCGGGGATCCAGACACCTCCTGCCCAACCAGCCTCCAAAACAAAGGAACAAAATAATAAAATAAACACAACTTGGTAAAAGACACACAGTAGGCTAACTGCCTGAGATTTTTCTAGGCAGTAAGTTTAAAGATCATAAACAGCATGATTGGTGGGTATGCAACCATGCATCTTGAGCTCCTTAAGATGAAAGAAAGCGTTATTGCCAAAGGAAAACTTGACTTAACACGTGACAAAGAATTCAGACTACTTTCTTGACTCTTACAAAAGCAGTAAGAGTATAACATCAAGAACATTTCAGTTGGCTGCAATCCCAGCTCTGTGGGAGGCTAAGGTGGGAGGATCACCTGAGGTCAGGAGTTCGAGACCAGCATGTCCAACATGGTGAAACCCTGTTCCTATAAAAAATATTAAAAAATTAGCTACTCAGGAGGCTGAGGCAGGAGAATCGCTGTAACCCAGGAGGTGGAGGAGGTTGCAGTGAGCCGAGATCGCGCCACTGCTCTTTAGCCTAGACAACAGGAGTGAAACTCCATTCAAAAAAAAAAAAACACTTCGGCTTAGAGACAGTATTATAATATAGCCCCCTTATCCTCAGGGGATAAGTTCCAAGATGCCCAATGAACGCCTGAAACCACAGATAGTACCAAACCCTAGATATAGTATATCTTTTATCTGATCACTAAGACAGCAACTAAGTGACTCAGGAGCAGGTAGTGTATACAACATAGATAGGCTAGACATAGGGATCATTCACATTCCAGGTCAGATGGAGAGGGATGATGCAGGTTTTCACCACGCTATGCACAAGAGTGTGCTATTGAAAACTTATGAACTATTCATTTCCAGACTTTTTCATTTAATATCTTTGGACTACTGTTGAGAGTGGGTAACTGAAGCCACAAAAAGTAAAACTACAGATAAGGGAGGAATACTATAATTCCATGTAGAAATAGGAATTTGCTCATTTTTCCTGACTTAAGAATATTAGCCCAATTTTGATACATGGCTGGAAATGTTTTATTAACTAATTAATTTTTTAAAATCAGTATAAGAAATGCTTATTGATCTTAAGCATTCCACAGTAGGACAGTCTGAGATTTTCTTGGTTCTAATTTCTTTACAGATTATGCAGAACATTAAGATATGCAAATGAAACATGAGTTAATAAGTTTGATTAGTTTTTATAGGTGTATCAAAATAACCACATGTTAAATGTGACAATTTGAAATGGAGGACTCGCCACCTTCCAAGCCATCCTAAATGAAAGAGGAAAGAATTAGAAACAGTTGAGTTTAGAGATACCAGAATACATAGGTGACATGTTTATTCTATTTTAAAGCATGTTCGAAAGAGAAGAGAAAAGCACTAGAAATATTGTCAGCAGTGTGATTATCAATTGAATGCTCTTTTCGTTTTAATTTGTGCCAATGTTTTCAATAGGTGATCAACAAAACTCAGCACCCCTGTTCCTGGGTGGATAAACTTTCTACAGTACACCACCGCATAGTGTAAGGAGACGTTACTTCTTTGCTCTATTATTCTGTTTCATATTTGGTTAAAGCAGGATTACCAGCCTGAAATGATGTTCATCTGAGTTCAAGAAAAAAAAAAGAGTAATGCAAGCTTTGAATTTTATCTCCATGGGGCGAGATTTTCTTTGTCCCCTGCTGAATTTTAAGTACAGATGCCCTTGAGCTCAACTGCTTCAAGTAGTTACTAAATTATTGCCCTTATCTCTAAATGATAAGTAGATAATAAAAGCAACCTAATTTTGCATGACACATTGTCAAGGTGGTCTTGTGAGTTTCTACAGTCTGATGTTACATATAGTACTATTTAAATTGACTAATTCAGTTTTTACATCTTGGAGCGAATTGTTTTTGTCTACAATTATTTTCTCTTTGGAGGTTTGCGTGATTTTTTTTTTCTTTTTCTTTTTTCTTTCTTTCTTTTTTTTTGAGATGGAGTTTTGCTCTTGTTGCCCAGGCTGGAGTGCAATGGCTCACGCCTGTAATCCCAGCACTTTGGGAGGCTGAGGTGGGCGGATCATGAGGTCAGGAGATCAAGACTATCCTGGCTAACACAGTGGAACCCCATCTCTACTAAAAATACAAAAAATTAGCCGGGCTTGGTGGCACGCGCCTGCAGTCCCAGCCACTCGGGAGGTTGAGGCAGGAGAATCACTTGAACCCGGGAGGTGGAGGTTGCAGTGAGGCAAGATTGTGCAACTGCACTCCAGCCTGGGTGACAGAGACAGACTCCATCTCAAAAATAAAAAAAGCATTAAGCATTGTGTCAGTATATAGACATCTCAATTTAATGAGAGTGCCAAGTTTATTTATGTAGACTGTACGGTATAACTGTCGCAATATTCTCATCTATGTAATGACAACTTATAATTATAATCCATTTTAATTTCTATAAATCAAATACTTCTAAAATGAGACAGTGGAGGACTGAAGCTGTCCTCCTAGCCCTGATGCCACTTTAATACTCCAGGGGATTCCTCTGACTTCTGCCAGTCAGAGCTTGAGATAAATGAGTGCTTTTGCTTGTTTGTGATTTACATTTTAAAGCATGTTTATGATTCCATTTGTGTGTTTGTCAGAAATATTGCTTTGGGCCAAGATTAATAGTGATTTGTTTGTTTCGTAAGGGGCTGCAGTCTTGCCGTGATATCTGGAGTACTCTATGGATCTACATTTGTGCCAATCATCTATATCAAGGACCACAGCAAAAGAAACGAGAGTATATATGCAGGGGCAAGCCAATATGGTGAGAATAAAAAGTTATCTTCCCTTGTTAATATCTGTTTTTTATGAATATAAAAATAACTGTGATAATAGTAAATATTATGTGTCAATTCGATCTTTGTTTTTCTTTGTAAGTGGTGAATTAGGAAGACACTGAAGACCGAAAATAATAAAGGATTATTTGCATATGACCTTTAACATACAAATGCAACCAACTTTAGTCAGATTCACTTCAACTACTTGGATCTTAAAACATGGTTTCGGACTTGCTAGTAAGACTTGGAAATTTTTTCCAGTTAGATAATCTTTGGGAAAAATACGTACACTTCTGCTCTTTTAAAAAGGCTAAAGTGTAATACATAGTACTTTAAAATCTGGTAAAGGTCAAAGTATAGCCTATTTGGTCAGAGGATATTATTTTTCTAGCACAGAGTTGTGCACTGGAAGGCCCAAGGTAATGCTTTCTGTTAATATCTCAGTTTCCATTGATAGAATTAATCTCCTAGGAGTAAACACAATACTATATGCAATAGCATTGCACAGGTTCAAAAGGAGAGGAAAGAGTGTTTACTTTGGGGATCCTCTAATTACATTGAAATGTGTCTTATACCCAAGAATGATAAGAGAACAAGATCATTCATAAAATAAAGTTCTAAGTCAGATGGCACAGGAAATTAATGTGACCTGTATTCAGATAAAGGAGAATTTGGAGGGCAAAAGACATGAGGGAAAGACTGACAAAGAAGTTGACGTTTGAGCCCAACAGTAACAGAACGGATAGACTGAGTAGATGCCACCGTTTCCGTCCTCCTTTTTATAGTTAGCCCCATGTATATTACTCAGACCTTTTATTGGCTTCTGTCTTTTCTTAGTTAAAATTTTATACAACTACTTTTTCACGTTTTTACAAAAAGATAAAAGCTAATAAAAATAGAATAACACAGGATAAATTAAAACAGAAAGAAAAACAAGAATGGGGATATAAAAGGAACCAGAAACAAGTCTAAAAACTTTGTACTAGATTGGTGTATTTGCTAGAAAGGAGCCTAAATTTGGCTCTGAGAGTCCTTGCAGGCACAAGGGAAGTCAGATCAGTCTCATGATTCAATGAGCACAAGATAAAAACAACTAATTGTTCGGGAGCACAGATGTTCTTGGTACAGGGACATAATAAACAATGTCCTCAACAATCTCTACACAAAGAGAACAATGGCTTCTTAGGAATCTTGCTTGTGACAACTCTAAATGTAATGTCATGGGAACACTTTATTCTGGTTTATTCAAAAATAACTGGTGGGGGACATTATTTTTTATTTCATTTATTTAACAACACATATGTGGTATATGCTCTGTCCTAAGTATTTTACAAATACCCAGTTAATCATCATAGCAACTAATACCATTATTATCTTTGTTTTACAATTGAGAAAATTAATGTAAGATGATTTGCCCAAGTCCCAAATTTAGTGAGTACTGGAATGAGGATTTGTGCCCAAGTGGTTCATGCTTTTAAATCACTCTATTTTCCTTTCTTTTGTGGTGGTTCATGTACAGATGTATTGCCCTTACATGATCCAGAGATAGGATTTAAGACTTACAGCAACAGACAAACTCTCTGTCCATTAACCTTTTCTTCCTAAACAGAGCCACTCATCTTTGTCAAAATTTTAGGGGACAGAAACTTTGAGTCCAACATGGCTTTCCCAGCCAAGAACCTGTAGTGCACCCATCTGTGTGGCCACAGTACCATCTGCTTAAACAGTCAGTGGAGTTGGGATTTTGCTGAGATTGAGCCACCATCATGGGATATTAACTCCCCCATGTACTTAGGTTTATAATCAACAATTGAATAAAACCTCTCCGGATTAACTTCCTGAATAGCCTTCTGTACAGCTGTCATCTGCAACAGAGATGCTGGTCTCCAGACTGATCAATGAATCACATAAAATTTGCTCCCCTTAACTTTTTTCACCCACATCCCCACTGTAGTCAACCTGAAGATTTGCTATAATTGCTATTGTTATTAGTAAAATTAGGCCTGAATGCCTATTCTTAAAAGGGAGGTATTAACATCACGGTCACATAATTCATTGTTTCTTATTTAGCTTTACCACATTATCATAAAAACTAGCCTTTAGTTTTGATTATAGTAACTAATCTAATACTTAATGCATCCAGATTTTAAATGTATTAATTAAAATTCTATATGAATACCATGTAGAAAACTATGATGATTAAATATAATTAATGGTTTCTTTACTTTTAAGGTTAATTTTGGTGAGTTTATTTTGAAAAATCCAAATATATCTGGAAGGATTGGAATGGTGTTTGAGCGTTTTTAATCTCTATTTTCAGATTTAGACTACGTTTTTGCACACTTCAGTGGCATCTTTCTTACAAGTACTGTCTACTTTCTGGCCTACTGCATAGCCATGAAAAATGGTCCTAAACTATATCCTGAAGCAGTCCTACCAGGTAAGAATATGTACTACAGAAGATCTTCTTACTATATGAAAGTATCATCTACAACTCATTTAGCTTGAATAAGTTTCTTCTGGAAACCAAGCCATCCTCTGTGTGTGTGTGTGTGTGTGTGTTCATTCCCCCTAATTACATTGGCCCAATTCACCACTAAATACGAAGTGTTTTAAATCCATGAAACTGAATATGAAATGTTGGCCATTATTACAGAACCTAAAACTTAAACAATAAATCTATTAATAAGATCTTTTCCTGTGCCAAACATCTTCTGTATTGATCATCAGTCCTTAGTATTTCTTTTTCACTATCTAAGGGTTCATATATCAACAAAAATAGGAATATGCAGTAACTTGGGAAAACAGTTTCTACAAAATGTAAGAAGAGAGTGTGATGACTTCAAAAAAGACGTATGTTAAACATACATGCTTTTGGACTTAATTCATTAGGCATTGATTGTTTTTTTTTTAATCTAATTTAGGAGTCTCTTATAATTCAGTTTGGAATATAGGTCCACAAGTAAAATTTTTTAAAGGCAAAAATAAGGCAAAAGTCAGAATCTCATTCTAAATGCCTAACAGACACCTGCTAAAGAATGTCACCATGTAGAAAATGCTAGAATACTTACCGAATGCCTAGCTAAAGTACTGTGAAAGTTTTAGCTGGTATTTTTGCTTAGATCCTACAGATTTTTTTTTTTCTCAGCAGTACCATCACTCTGATCCACTTTATTAATATTTATGGTTCACAGTATATGGTATTTGCAGAGAATGTTCATGTTCAGTTTGTCCCCTAGGCCCTCTTCACCACCCACCCTCTACCTCTTTTACTACTGTGGGTACTTTAATGCCGATAATGTGAAAGCATTTATTATTCTACCCATAGCAGCCAAGAGTAGAGAAATTACCTGGTTCTAAAATAACAATAAAACACAGCTCAAAAATCCATATTGGCCAAGAACATTAATCGGAATGCATTTATGTGTGCACCTTGGTATTCCTGTTGTAGCTAAAGTGTGAGTTCTTCAAGAGAGGATCACGGTCTGCAAATGTGCGTTGTCTTTGTATTTCAGGATTCCTCTCAGGAGTACTTTGGGCAATAGCTACCTGCTGTTGGTTCATAGCAAATCACTCTCTGAGTGCTGTGGTCAGTTTTCCTATAATCACTGCTGTAAGTAGCTGAACCATTTTTCCAAATTTTCATTTTAAAATGTCAATGCAATTTTTCTGAAGCACTCTTAGGGCATCACTAAAGACTGTAATGGAGTTTGATTTTTTAGGAGTACAATTAAATGGACTCAGATAGATAAACTGACCCTCTTGAATCTTCATGTGCTTGATCGCTAAGGAACATTTCTCATGTCATTTTGGCAGGGCTATTAATCCTTAATCGCTAATATCCTTGCAGTTTTTGTTTGATTAGTTTATCTGTTGTCATTTTAGAGACAATGAAATTTGCTATTTATAACTATTGATCTCTACCTATATAAAAGTCTATAAATATAAAAAATGATTTTATGTGTATTACCATATCAATATCATGACCATTTTGTAAGACTGAAAGTACTTCAGGCACCTCTTCCTATGGTACTTCACTCTTTTTAAGCAAAACTTTCTGAAAGTGCTAAAGCAAGGTGTTACCTCTGGGTGATACCACTCTGTACTTAATACAATTCGCTTCATCCAATTATTTAGGTGCTAATGATGGAAAACATAGATAATAGAAAAACATTTTTTTACATAGGCAAAATAAGTATTCATAAGATTATTCCCATTTTGAAGATAAGAAAACTGAGGCAATAGATAAGAACATGATCTGAAGTCTCATAGCTAAGGAAAAGCTGAAGAATTTTAAGTACGGGATTTCCAGTACACAGTGCTACTTTCTGCCATCATAATGGGAACTTATTGAGAATTTGTTTTAGGTTCACTGTGGTACTAGGACTGATATATACATGCAGGAACTGCTTTCATGTTGGGCTGTTAGGTCCGCCCTAGATATTGTAGATTGCTAACCAGCATTCAACTGCATCCCCTGCTTCCAAAATCATCATCACTAACAAACTTTATCTAAAACATGTTAGCGTTTGCATACCTGTGTAAAGCTAGAAAACTGATTTTTTAGAAACATTGTCTAGTCTATAAACCACTGATATAATTTGATATAAATTCTGGGCACCAAACAGTATATTTTGACAGTTCTACCCTGTAAAATAGTTAGCTGTCAAATACAACTAAATTCCAATAATAAAGGGCTTTTAAAAAAATTTACAGAATCCACATTTTAACATTCTTAATCCTGCTGAGGGAAAATCTAGCAAGTTATGAAGAATTTCTTTAGGTCAAAAGTCTTCATAATAGAAATGGCAAAGGACCCAAATTCTTTCCAACAAGGGATTTGTTCTTCCTCATTTCAAGGACACTTAATGTTACAAGTGACAGGCAGTGGGTATAAAGCTTTCCTGTTAAATACATAAAAGCAAATTTCCAGAGAAAAGTATACAGTATGATATGTCCCTTGGCTATAGATGCAAATGTTATTTGACAATATGAAATCCCTTAGGTAGATAAGGGGGAATAAAACTTATTAAAATATGACAAGCCACTACTTATATCAAATGTAAACTTTTATCTTTATCATATGATAGTGACTGTTTTTCTTTTACTCAAATTATATTCTTGAGCAGATGTGGGTTCTCCAAAAAGCTTTTGAGGCAATTTTTTCTAAAATACACAGATAAAATCAAGTTACACAGACAAAGAGAAATAAAACACAAATAAAAAATCAAAACAGTGGCAAAGATGAGAAAGGGAGCAAATAGTTGCTGTGATTAAACATTAAAACATTAAATTTTACTTAGTGATTTCAAAAGGATAATGCAATGGGGTAGGTAATTCTTACTATTAGCAGCATATTATTTCCTCAGAACAGACCGATTTTTTTTTTTGCATTGAATTTTTAACAGAATTTATCATCTGGGACCTCTTAAAGGGAAGATTGAAAAACAAACATTATCCTTTACAAAATTTTCTAGGAGACAGAGTTGGTTTTGCTACCATCATTTCTTGTTTAGGGTTAGAATAAAGATTGAGGACAAAATGAAAGCCTGTTACAAAGGAAATAAACCACTGAGGTAGGGGGGTGTGGGCAGAGAGAGGATCAGTGAGAATGGTCACTGTGGCTTTCGACAACCTGCCCATCAAAGAGATCGCTCTTGAAAAACTGTAATGTAAGCAGAGCCTTCTCATTCACCAGGCATAACTTTCTTACCTGGTGCATGTGGTGCTTGTTATCTGGGAAGGACAGGTATTTGGAGTTGGTGAGGGAGTAGGTCCCTATTGCTGCTAGGCCCTTGTTTGGTTTTACTGTAGTCGCTTTATCCAAGAACAACCGTATCTACACACAGAAAAGATTCAGTTCCTACCCTCAACAATCGTACATTCTTAATTAATTATATACATAATAATTAATTAAGAATGTAATTATTTTGTATATATTATATATAATAATTAATTATTTAAATAAATTTATATTAAATGTATAATATAAATAAATTATATTATATTAAATATATAATAATAATTTATTAAATAAAATTTAAAAATTTATGATAAATGATTATTATATTTTATATAATATATATTACATTCTTATCATCTTACATTCTTAATCAATTATATGTATATTATTATATTATATATAATAAATTAAGAATGTAAGATTGTATACATATGTTATATATGTAAGATTATATATATATAATTAATATATATATATTTTGGTAGGGTTAGATTTTTGAAACTTTTTGAAACTTATTTATTTTTTTTGAGATGGAGTTTCGCTCTTGTTGCCCAGACTGCAGTGCAGTGGAGCAATCTTGCCTCACTGCAACCTCCACCTCCTGGGTTCAAGCGATTCTCCTGCCACAGCCTCCTGAGTAGCTGAGATTACAGGCATGCACCACCACGGCCAGCTAATTTGTATTTTTAGTAGAGACGGGGTTTCTCCATGTTGGTCAGGGTGTTCTCAAACTCCCAACCTCAGGTAATCCGCCTACTTTGGCCTCACTGAGTGCTGGGATTACAGGCATGAGCCACCATGCTCGGCCCGATTTTTTAAACTTTTTAAATGTAAAATGTCAAACAAACCTATCACCAACCAACATTTATGAATATGGTCAATCAGTTTTATCAGAATACATTTTTAATATCCCAGCTGTGCTGTTCTTCCCAGGTATACCTATTCTCATAGTTATATATCCAGTGGTAACTAGCCTGAGTTCTTTGAAAGTAATGTCCATTTTGTTTATTGGCAAATAAAAAGCCAAAAGAAAGAAAGCCATTAAAAAGCCAAAAGAAAAAAGAAAGAAAGAAGAGAAGAGAAAAGAAAGAAAGAAAGAAAGAAAGAAAGAAAGAAAGAAAGAAAGAAAGAAAGAAAGAAAGAAGAGAAAGAAAGAGAAGAAAGAAGAAAGAAAGAAAGAAAGAAAAAGAAAGTCACCTAGTAAGGGCTGTTACCTCTGCTCCAAGTCTTCCTTGATAATTCTAAACTGAATCAGCTTATTCTCAAGATAGGTGCAAGTTCACTTTGTTTGCAAAAGCCGATTTACACCTAATTTGCATTAGTTTACAAAAGGAAAATATACAATCCAAATTACCTAAACTGTTGTATCGCCTGTTAAGATGCCCTTCCTGTGTGGCTTTCCTTGGCCTAAATCAGAGTCAGTACATACTTTGATGTATGCTTGCATTACTTTTAGCAAAGCACCCCTCTTATAACCACTACTCCTCACAATAATGCTTAGGCCATGCCTAAACTCATATTTAGAAAACAATCAGACAAGAATCTTCAAAGGTCAATCATACCTTGTGGTATTGTACCATGTTCTCTGAAGGGAAATGGATTTTCAGATTAAAAATTCTTGAGCATAACATTAGTATGGTATCCTCTGTTCTACTGTTTCCTCCCATTCTGTATAAAGTCAGTGTGGGGTTGCTTAAAAGACCCATATGCTTCTTGTTTGATTTGGATTTTGAGGCTTAGAAACTTACATCATTGATAAAAGGCAGTTCTTTGACCTATTTCTCTGGCTCTTTTGATGTTGACTTTCCAGATGATGATAAACAGAGAGGAGTATATTTTTCCGCTTCACTTACATACCAGGAGTGGAATCAAACTTTGTTGACTCAGTCTTTTAGACAGCTGGAGTAGTAGTGGGGGGAGAATCATTTTGGAATCTATTTGAAACTCTTCCAGAGTTTTTTGGGGTTTGAAGAGCAATGATAAAAATGCTGATACAATACACCTTCTCTACAAAGACCACAGTTAGCCCAAATTCCAATTTTCCGCCTTCTCAGCTAAACCAAACTTGAATATCTTAAAGTTCGTAAATTGCAGAATCATTCCTTTTCTTCACCTATTGCTTCTCGTTTCCTCTGTCCTATATTATTTCATTCTTTTCTGTGTCTCCTGCCCAGAAACCCCTGTTGTTTTCCCTTACGTGTTTATTTTAATCTTCCCATAAACCTTTTTGTAGCATTCATTGGTGTTTAATGCTAGCCACACTTGGTTGCTCCGCAGTAATATCAAAGTATTTTTTTAAGCATGAGCTATTTCCACATGTACATTATTTGTTAAGCCAAAAAGAACATGCCAAAATTTCTTCAGTTATGAGATTATCTCATGCCAAAGAAAGCAGCTTGTCCACACTTTTCTTACTGATCCCGCTTCTAGTATCCTAAGGAACTAGGCCAATGGAAAAAATAAGCTATGTGATTATAAAAATAATTTATGATAAATATATTAAAGAAAAATATTATGTGGCACAAAATATTATAGCATCATCAAAATAATAAAAATGAAGACCATGAAGAAAAGAAAATGAAAAAAAGTCTTCATCTTTTACTTAGTATCACTTAATGTTTAGCTTAGTATGGAGTTAAGGTTGATATTATGGGTAGTTTTCCCTGAAAATATTTTTATAGTATCTCCTACTTACTATATTTATATAGAATCTAGTCGTGAGTAAATATCCAATTTAATTAAAGTTTATATTTTTATTTAAGGGTCCAGGATTTATAGCTGCAATGTGGGGTGTCTTCATGTTTAAGGAAATAAAGGTAAGTTCAAGAAAAGGTAAACTTAGAAAATGGGAATGGGCGGCCGGGCGCGGTGGCTCAAGCCTATAATCCCAGCACTTTGGGAGGCCGAAGCAAGTGGATCACGAGGTCAAAAGATCGAGACCATCCTGGTCAACATGGTGAAACCCCGTCTCTACTAAAAATACAAAAAATTAGCTGGACATGGTGGCGCGTGCCTGTAGTCCCAGCTATTCAGGAGGCTGAGGCAGGAGAATTGCCTGAACCCAGGAGGCGGAGGTTACCGTGGGCCGAGATCGCGCCATTGCACTCCAGCCTGGGTAACAAGAGCGAAACTCCGTCTCAAAAAAAAAAAAAAGAGAGAAAATGGGAATGGGGTAGGCCGGACACAGTGGCTCACACCTGTAATCCCAGCACTTTGGGAAGCTGAGGCAGGTGGATCATGAGATCAGGAGTTCAAGACCAGCCTGGCCAAGATAGTGAAACCCTGCCTCTACCAACCTCTACCAAAAATACAAAAAATTAGCTGGGCATGGTGGCTGGCACCTATAATCCCAGCTACTCAGGAGGCTGAGGCAGAGAATTGATTGAACCCAGAAGGCGGAGGTTACAGTGAGCCAAGCCACTGCACTCCAGCCTGGGTGACAGAGCAAGACTGCATCTCAAAAAAAAAGAAAGAAAATAGAAATGGGCCCAGGTGGGTATTTAATACTATGTTTGCATTATTTTCTGAAAACTGCCTGTGGTGCCTAGGTTCAGGGCAAACAACCTATGAAAGGATTTGACAGATAAAAGGTTCAGAATGTGATAATACCTCATTAGAAAAGAAAATCCTAGAGCTATGATTATTATAATGTAACATAGTGTCTCTCTCCACCCCCCCACCCCCGCCAGTGGAAGAATGCTGTCATTGACTTAAGTTTCCCTGAAGTGATTCTAGTTAAATAACCCAATGAAATAGGAAAGAGGGAAATCAGTTGGAAAAAGGGAAATTTGTTTAAAATATGATAGATAAACAAGATGAAATTTTTTTTATCCTACAGGTTAAAATATCCCCTGAGGTAAATGGGCTTTGGGAATAGATGTTTGTATTGGTTCCTGTGTCTCCCAAAGGCCTCCATGTCAAACCAGTAATTTTGCAGGAAAGCAGCATGGTAACAGGAGGCTATTGCCATTTCCTTTTCAAATGTAAATGATGGGAATTTAAAATTGCATTCACCAATTAGTTCTAGTGTGTGCGTGTGTGTGCGTGTGTGTGTGTGTGTGTGTGTGTGTGTGTGTGTGTGTGTTTTCTTTAAAAATCACTTTGCCAGGCATGATGGCACGCATCTATAGTCCCAGCTACTCAGAAGTCTGAGGCGGGAGCGTCACTTGAGCCCAGAAATTTGAGGCCAGCCTGGGCAATAACAACAACAACAAAAGGTGTAGTCTCAAGAACCCAACTGGGTTCAAATCCTGACTCTGTCACAAACTAGCTGTGTGACCTTGGTCAAGTTTCTTAACCTCTCTGTGCATATAGTCCTTGCCTGAAACTGGGGATAACCTACCAGGAGAGCTGTAAGAATATGAATAAAGTGCTAAGAACAGTACTAAGAATGCAAGAAATGCTCAGTTAATTTGGGGGATGAGTATCAGATAACCTAGCCCAAACTGTAGATAGAAAAATAGAACAGGTTCAGAGTAGTGGCTCACACCTGTAATCCCAGCACTTTGGGAGGCCAATGTGGGAGGATTGCTTGAGCCCAGGAGTTTGAGACCAGCCTAGGCAACATAGCGAGACCCCTATCTCTACAAAAACAATTTAAAAATTAGCCAGGTGTGGTGGTGTACAGTAGTCACAGCCACTCAGGAGGTTGAGGAGGGAGGGTTGTTGGGTTCAGGAGGTTAAGGTTATAGCAAGCCATGATCATACTACTGCACTGGAAATCCTGTCTCTCCAAAAAAAGGAAAAGAAAGAAAGAATAAGAAAACTCACAAAATCGGAGAATTTCTCCCCTTTCAGCCAGGCATGGTCACATCTACCTGTAGTCCAACTATGCAGGAGGATCGCTTGAGCCTAGGAGTTCAAGACTAGCCTGAGTAACAATTTTAATTAAAAGATTTAAAAATTTTAATCTTTTTTTAAAAATTGCTTTAGAACTTTTCCCTGTTACCTTTACTTGTAGACACAAGTAAAGTAAACTCAAGTCTTCATTTGAGGAATATATGCAAATATCCTTTTCCAATAATTTTATTAAAGACAATATTGATCCAAAGACCCCTCCCCCCATTAAGGCATCGTAAACTTGTCGTAATATGCAGTTGTAGTAGCAGATAATTTCTGGCTCTAAGAAGATTGAGATTGCTCATCTCTGAGAGCCATAAAGTGAATGACCTTCTACCTGATCTTTAAAATGAATATTTAATTTTAGATTTAAAACATCATTTCAATTATAAACAAAATATTTTGATTTTAAAATCATTATTTGATAATACAAGTAAGAGTCTCAGATTTTAAAAATATATTTGTTTGTTTCGAAAATACGTGGACTATGATCAGAATTTTAATTTTTTTTAAATACACAAGAACAACTTGAAACGTGTATAAACCTATAAGTTACTTTCATGAAGGTTTCTCATTTGTTGTAGTTGGAGTTTCTTTCTACGAAAAGTAACTCTGTGCCAAAAATATATTGTAAATCTCTGCATATATTTCATCTACCTCACAAAAGATGATTTATTTAGATTGAAGAATTGGTTATTATCTCATGTAAGATGCTGAAGCCTTAGAAAATCACAAATTAGTGATATAGTTTATTAGTCATTATAGGTATAGACACATAAACTAGGTATAAATTTATATTAAAGCATTTGAAAATTATTTTGGTCATGACTACAATAATACTGAATTGAAAATCCTTTTAACCACATATAAGAAACCTGTTTAAAGAGAGAATCCCTAACCAAAAAGCCTAGTATTCATTTTTTTTTTATGATAGGCACTTTCTTTCTTTCTTTTTTATTGCATTTTAGGCTTTGGGGTACATGTGCAGAACATGCAAGATAGTTGCATAGGTACACACATGGCAGTGTGTTTTGCTGCCTTCCTCCCCTTCACCTATATCTGGCATTTCTCCCCAGGCTATCCCTCCCCAGCTCCCCCCCACCGCTGGCCCTCCCCTATTTCCCCCAATAAACCCCAGTGTGTAGTACTCCCTTCCCTGTATCCATGTGTTCTCATTTTTCATCACCCGCCTATGAGTGAGAATATGTGGTATTTCATTTTCTGTTTCTGTGTCAGTTTGCTGAGAATGATGTTCTCCAGATTCATCCATGTCCCTACAAACGACACAAACTCATCATTTTTTATTGCCGCGTAATATTCCATGGTGTACATGTGCCACATTTTCCCAATCCAGTCTATCATCAATGGGCATTTGGGTTGGTTCCAGGTCTTTGCTATTGTAAACAGTGCTGCAATGAACATTTGTGTGCATGTGTCCTCATAGTAGAATGATTTATAGTCCTTTGGTTATATACCCAGTAATGGGATTGCTGGGTCAAATGGAATTTCTATTTCTAAGGCCCTGAGGAATTGCCACACTGTCTTCCACATGGTTGAACTAATTTACACTCCCACCAACAGTGTAAAAGTGTTCCTATTTCTCCACATCCTCTCCAGCATCTGTTGTCTCCAGATTTTTTAATGATCGCCATTCTAACTGGCGTGAGATGGTATCTCAATGTGGTTTTGATTTGCATCTCTCTAATGACCAGTGATGATGAGCATTTTTTCATATGTTTCTTGGCCTCATGTATGTCTTCTTTTGTAAAGTGTCTGTTCATATCCTTTGCCCATTTTTGAAAAATGCCTAGTATTAATTCTTTAGAGTTCTTTATTTAAAGGGATACTGAAAAACAGTAAGGAATGTTTTGTTTTATTTTGTTTTGTTTTGTTTTGTTTTTGGTAAAGACATATTTAAAAAGATGGCTCAGACCAAATAGAAAAGTAACTTTTAAGATTAATATACTATGACCCAATAGGGTTTAATTCAGGAATGCAAGGATCATTTGTAGTATGTAAATTAATTAATCTCGTTTACTCTACCATGTGCAATAGGGAAAGGATGTGATAATACTATACTAACTTCTTAGTAAGCTAGAAATAAAAGGAAGCTTTAGTGGTACAGTATGTCTGTCAAGACAAAATAGCAATTATATACTTTAATTTCATGAAACCTTAGAGTTCTCTGTACGTTAGAAGTCAAAGATTTCTCCATACTATTATTCAATATTTTCTGTAGATCTAGCTAGTTTGGAAAGACAAGAATAAGAAATGAAGTGAATAAATATAGGAAAAGAAATGAGAAATTTTTCATTTGCAGATTACATTTTTAAAAATGTAAGCATCGTGATTTTAATTTATTGGTGACAAAAATTATAAATTAAAATGAAAATTTAAAAGAATCAGCCAAAAAATTTAAGATCCAGTAAGATCATTTAGTAAGGCTTGAGATATAAAATAAATAGAAAATCAATTGCCTTCCAATATATCACTAACAACTAGTCAAAAAGAGGAAAACAAATGCTATTAATAACCACAAAAAGTACATACTTCTAAGAAAAGTATTAACAAGGAATGTGCCAGATTTTTTAAATACCGTATTTTTACTTTGCTACAAACATTTACTGGAGGGCATAGGAGACCAGAACGAACGTGGGAGGCTGGCCACATTTCTGATGGAACACCTCACCGCTGTAATTAGGCAGCTCTCTCCAATTACCTTCAGTATAGTTCCTGTAACATCACAGTGAAGCTTTTTCTAGAATTTTTGGAGTAGGTTCTAAAGTTTGGCTAATTGTTTATGTAAAAATAGACGAAAAGAAAATAAAAATAAAAGCATGACAGCACATGTACCGTATTTCTGAAATGTGCAATTTAGATCAGCTAGGCCAGTTTTCTTATAAAATAAGGATTTCTAAGCCTAAGAAAATGACTGTTTGCTCTTTTTCTATTTTAAAAAATGACTAAGATAAGATTA